CTCTGATACCATAGGCTATTAAAAATGCAGTTGCCTGTGTTTACCACAAATTTGCTAAAGCAGAGGACCCATGCAGGATCTGAGCATTTTGATATAAAGGCATATGTTGTTTTATTGTGCATTTTTTTAACTGTACTTTGCAGATATTGCATTTTTTACAAACTGAAGGTTTATGGTAACCCTGGCTTGAGGAAGTCTGTGGTGCCGTTTTCCCAACAACTTGGGATCAATTCATGTCTCTGTGCCACATTTTGGTGAGTACTGCAAATATTTCATGAAAGGAAGAGTTAATTGATGTGGCAAACTTCATTGTTACCTTATTTTCAGAAAAAATCACAGCTACCCAACCTCCTGATAAGTCAACAGGCATCAACACTGAGGCAAGACCTGTCACCAGCAAAAATAATGCAACTTGCTGAAGGCTCAGATGATGATGGTATTTTAGCAACATAGTTTTTTTTTTTTTTTTTTTTTTTCCTTCTTTCTGTATAGCTGGGTCATCCTAGGTTGCCAAGGCTGGTCTCGAACTCTTGGGCTCAAGGGAATCCTCCTGCTTTGGCCTTCCAACATGCAAGGATTACAGGCATGAGTCACCATGCCTGGCTATTTCAAAGTATTTTTTAGGTAAGGTATGTGCATTTTAGACATAATGTTATTGTATACTTAATAGACTATACTACAGTATAAACATAACTTCTGTATATACTGGGAAACTAAACAATTTGTGTGATTCACTTTATTTTGATATGTGTTCTATCGTGAGACCAGAAATTAAACTTAAAATATCTCTGAGGTGGCCAGGCCTAGTGGCTTACACCTATAATCTCAACACTTTGGGAGTCCAAGATGGGTGGATCACGAGGTCAAGAGATTGAGATCATCCTGGTCAACATGCTAAAACCTTGTCTCTACTAAAAATACAAAAATTAGCTGGGCATGGTGGTGCACGCCTGTAGTCCCAGCTACTTGGGAGGCTGAAGCAGGAGAATTGCTTGAATCCAGGAGGCGGAGGTTGCAGTGAGCCAAGATCATGCCATTGCACTCCAGCCTGGGTAACAAGAGTGAAACTCCATCTCAAAAAAAAAAGAAAAAAAAAATCTCTGAGGTATGCCTGTATATGTTTCATCATTGATTTTCCTGCACAGCGAGAGAAGAGTCCCTAGTATAAACTATTAGCTTTTTGTGTTTCTTTTTAATACATCTGATGTTCTTCAACACCAATAAAACTTATACATTTAAAAAAAATGGTTTTAAAATTTAAAAAAATTCTTAATATTTTTTTGATTGTCAAATCATGATTGAGTACATTTATGGGGTCTAATATGATGTTTTGATACGTATAGATTTATGAAGTGGCATGATTAAATAGAGCTAATTCACATATCTGTCACCTCACTTGTCTATCTTTTTCTTATGGTGACACATTTGAAACATGAAGAAATGTTTTTGATATGAGAACAAATGAATAATTTATTTAAATTCTTTGCTAGAATGAAATGTTATTCAGAAGCTGTGAAATCTGTTCATAATAACACCTTCTACAGAATAAAACAAGATAAAATAATTTAGAAGTTAAGAAAGAAAGCAGAGAGAGGGAGAAAGAGAATGTGGTATTCAGGTCATTAGATGAGGGCATTCTGCCAATAATCACACCAATAATGCTCAGTTATGTAATACACTTTGTTTTTTAAGTCTACTATAATGCTATATATTAGTTATCTAGAAACATCATTTATAAATAAAGACTTCATATAATAATAGCAATGATAACTATCACTTATTGTATTTAAAAAATCCTCTCTGCAGTCCCATGAGGCAGGAACTTTGATGATCTCCATTTCTAAGAGGGAACTGAGACACAGGGATTAAGTCATACGGCAAGTGAACTGAGAAGCTAAGTGTGTTCTCTCTCTCTCTTTTTTTTCTTTTTTTTGAGATGGAGTCTTGCTCTGTCATCCAGGCTGAAATGCAGTGGCGTGATCTCTGCTCACTGTAACACCGCCTCACGGGTTCAAGCAATTCTTCTGCCTCAGCCTCCCAAGTAACTGGGACTACAGGTGTGTGCCACCATGCCTGGCTACTTTTTGTATTTTTAGTAGAGACAGGGTTTTACCATATTGGCCAGGATGGTCTCAAACTCTTGACCTTGTGATCCGCCTGCCTCGGCCTCCCAAAGTGCTGGGATTACAGGTGTGAGCCACTGTGCCTGGCCTAAGTGTGTTCTCTTAACCATTATACATACTGGTTACCTATGAAGTAGATGGGAGGGATGAAGAAAAAAAAAGTGGAAAATAGGAAGGAAATTAGGAAAACAAGGAGAGATAAAGACAAAGGCAGAAGAGGCTGGAAAAGGCCTTTTGATGAAGTTGGCAAAGAAAGAGTATGAAATTTCCCTTATGCTGAGTCCTGCTTTCCCTGGTAACTGATTATTGTATGCCATATTATCCCTTTGGTGTTCAAGGTCCAAGTGCAGCATATTAGCCATAATCCCCCAGCTTTACAAAAATATAGCTCTATCATATTTTAAAAATACTTCAAAAAATATGATTGTATCCTTCACAAAACCTATCTGTATCTGCCCGAGTCTCAGGCCACTCTTCTGCTTTTAAAATTCATCAGCAGAAACAGATCTATGTATGCTGGGAGCTGATTTATTGCAAGGAAAATATCAGAGTTATCTGCCATTAACATTTAGATTAGAACAAAGATATTTTGCGACAATGCTCTAATTCAAAGGCATTTTAGAGCTCATGCCTTAGAGTTCATACTTAGAAGATTCTCTCAGGTAGGCAGGAGGAAGACAGAGCTTGGGGCATTCCTAAGACCTTACCCATTAATTACGTAGCAATTGTCAAATGTCTTCCTTTAAAGTGCACTGCATTTGACCCACAATTCAATGAGGATTAAGTATTCCTATTTTACAGGTAAAGAAGCCAACTCAGATATATTAAAGAGACTGGATTAGTAGGTACAAAGTAAAGACTCGACCCCAGGAGTTTAGACTATAAATACAGTCCCCTATTTCACCACTGCCTTCCCAGGCATGGAGGTAACTCTGAAAGCCCAAGATCCAATCAGTTTAAGATCAAACATCAAGTTGTTGCCAAACAGGTTAAGCTGACAAGAAATATAATGAGGAATAATCTATCACTATAAAGTAGTCATAATGATTTTATTAACTTTTTAAACTAAAACCAAGTCTAAACATTGTTTTCAGAATCAAGTAAAGTTTTTTAAATCAACTTTTTCCAGGCTTGCTGACAAACACCAAAGGCATTAAATCTGTCTGCAGCACACTAAAGTCAAATTATGATAGCTGGGTAAATATCTACTTGTAGAGTGGTAGCAATGACATAGGGTCAGGGATTTAGGTGATTAGTTTGTGTCGATAATCTTAGTAGGGTACTACTGCAGTATCCTTTCAGTCTTTCCTGTATTCAAAGCATACGTTGAAACATAAAAATTCCATTATAAAAACTGTGGGTGGAAATCCTCCCCATTATATGTCTTTGGGCCTGCACAGGATATGTTTTTGATTTGAGGTGGCTGATAGAGGCCTAAATAAGACTTTTGTCTCCATAGAACGGTCAATTTCATTATTTTCTGATATGTTGTAGCTCACTATTAATCTCTGTCAAGTGTCTTGGGCAAACATAATATTGATTGGAAGGACTGGTTAGATACATTCAGAAAATAGCAGCATAAATGCATAACTGCTAGGAGCAGTGCTCCACACTCCTGTTACCAAAGTGTTCCAGGAAACAGCAGCATTAGCCTCACCTGAGAATTTGTTAAAAAGGTAAATGTTTCTACCCTAGATATACTGAATCGGAAACATAGCAATTTAAACACCTCTCCACGTGATCTTATTGCAGACTGAGGTTTGAGAACTTCTACTCTAAGTTGATCACCAGAGAGTATCATTTTCCATTTTAAAAGATATTACAGGTTGAGTATCCCTCATCCAAAATACTAAGGACCAGAAATGTTTCAGATTTTGTAGTATTTATACATACATAAATCGAGGACAAGACCCAGGTCTAAACATGAAATTCATTTATGTTTTATACACATCTAAACACATAAAGATAATTCTATAAAATATTTTAAATAATTTTGTGTGTGAGACAAAGTTTTGACATGTCTGACTGCAACCCATCGCAGGAGGTCAGGTGCAGCCTTTTCCACATGTGGCAATCACTTTGGCACTCAAAAAGTTTTGAATTTTGGAAGCATTTTAAATTTCAGATTTTTTGATTAGGGGTTGTCAAATTATATTTTAAATTATAAAAATTGTGGTTGCTACAGATAATATTTTGCAAGGGCACACCCCTTGCAAAATGCATGTGTTAAAATTCTAACTCCTAATATGATGGAAGGAAGGAAAGTGAGGCCTTTAGTAGGATGGAGGCCTCATGAATGGGATTAATGCTGTTATAAAAGAGATTGTGGGAGCCCTCTCTCCCTTTCTGCCATGTGAAGGCACAAAGAGAAGACAGCTCTACAAAACTAAAAACAGGATCTAACCAGACACTGAATCTGCTCGTACATTGATTTTGAATTTCCCAGCCTTCATAACTGTGAGAAATAAATTTTTGTGGCTGGGTATGCTGGCTCACACCTGTCATCCCAGCACTTTGAGAGGCTGAGGCAGGTGAATCACTTGAGTCAGGAGTTCAAGACCAGCCTGGCCATCATAGTAAAACCCTGTCTCTACTAAAAACTTAAAAATTAGCCAGCCATGGTGGTGCGCACCTGTAATCCCAGCTACTTGAGGCAAGAGAGTCGTTTAAACCCAGGAGGGAGAGGCCGCAGTGAGTCAAGATTGTGCCACTGCACTCCAGTCTGGGAGAAGGAGCAAGACTCCATCTCTAAATAAATAAATAAATAACATATTTTTGTTATTTAATCCACTTGGCCTATGACAGATTGTTATAACAGGCCGAATGGACTAAGACAGTAGCATATCGCAAAATTTGCTTCAAAATATAATTGCTTACCACATGCCCACATATCCACTGGTTTTCCATAAGGATCTTTACGTAAAACTTCTGGAGAAAGATATCCAGGTGTGCCAGCAAATCCTAGGGAAAAGAGATATTAATGAGTCACAGTTGACTTGACAAAACAATATGAAATGGAAAACTAAGAAAGAAAATTTTGGGGGGCTTCTTTATCTGATATGTTTTTCAAGATACAGCAAGGTTGTCAGAGCACTAAATAGTGTAGACTTTCTCTTTGTAGAAATATCAACATTAGTTTGTCCTGTCCTGTAGCTCATTTGAAAAAAATACATCTTTTTTCCAGATATGAAGGCCAACCTACTGTGCTGCAAAGTTACTGTGTACTGTTAAGGCCACTTTTGATTAGCAATTCTTATTGTCCTTTATGTATATGAGAGTTAAAACTACACCTGAAAAGAAATATGGAGAACTCACCAGGAAAAGAGGTAAGTCCAAAATATATCAAAGAGTTCACTCTGTACTAATAAATAATCAGTATGTGCTTGTAACTGGCAACTAAAGAGAAGATGCAGAAATATTCAGATAAATCACTATTGAACAAGTATCAACTAGACATTTAGCTTAAGAAGGAGATGTCATGAGAAAAACTAGATGGCGAAAGAGAACAGTTTGACAGTGCTTCTGTCCTCTCCACTCTCACTGTCCTTCTCTAATTCCTCTAGAGTTGACAGGCACTGAAACTCCAATCAGAAGCTGATTGCTAAAGTCCAGATTAAATCCAATGTCCTCAGTGTGCACTTTCAGATCCTCTATCATCTGGTTTCCCTTCATTCATCCAACATGAATTCATTCTCCTTCTGGGCCCTTGACCTGACTAATCCTTTTAAGGTCTTTTAAAAATGGACTTCTCATTGTCATTCTTGATACTACTTTTTCTGTTCCTTGAATCCTAAATATTTTTTCTCTACCTGTTTTCCAACAGAGAGTGGCTCTAAGTTATTTCCATCTTAGAACTCTCCTTAGCTACATACAGTTCTCAGTGATCCCTTCTCACCCTGAATTTCAACCATTCTTTTCTATACAATCCGTACTCTGCTGTCTAAATCAATAAACCCTTAATAATGTATGATTTCAATAACGTAGAATATATAGCCAGAAATAGGAAATGTTAACAATATTTCTCCTAAGCTTCCCTAAGATAAGGAAGTGAGTAAGAAATGAAAAGATCATTTAAAATGTAAATTATTACAAACCTCTTATGGAGACTAAAATTCTGAGAGAATACCATCATGCTCATTCTTACTTAGTCACAACCAGTGGGGTCCTTATTTCAAGAATAGTGAAGCATGTATCTAGACGCATGGACATTAGGAAACAATGTGCAGTACAATGTGACCTCATAAATATAGACATGGGGGGTGAAACAGATAAGGCCTTCTTTGTGGGAAATTAAACTTGTCTAGGATTATCATAATACATTCCATCAAAAGGAAAAGTAATGAGAGCTTGCCTTTTTTAGGAATAGCATATGTTTCTTACTTTGAAAAATCAATAGGAATATAAAAATAGATAACATAAAGAGAAAAGAGAATTACTGATTGTTAAAAATGTATCCATTGTCACTTAATGGCATAAAAAGAACCTTAATATCTTAAAAAAGAGACACGTTAATATCTTTAAAAAGAGACATAAGAGCAACCAAGCAAAGTAATTCTTCTATGAACCAAGATCTTGGTAGTTATCCTTTTTTTTTCTAGCAACAACAAAAATGCTAGAAAGGTATTGCAAATAACATGTCCAGTTCCATAAGAGAAACAGAATATATCTGAATATTTCTTTTTGGTAAACTTTCTAGCCATCTTATCAAGTGTATTGACAGGGTGTTTACTTCTACCATTTTTGGCCAGTAATCCCACTGGCCAAAACTAAGAGAGCAGGCTAGAAAGTGAAAAGTAAATATGGGAAAGAACAAACATGTTTGAACTTGAAAAATAATTTTTTGGCTGGGCATGGTGGCTCGTGCCTGTAATCCCAGTACTTTGGGAGGCTGAGGTGGGCGGATCACCTGAGGTCAGGAGTTGGAGACAAGCCTGGCCAACATGGTGAAACTCCACATCTACTAAAAATAAGAAAAATATTAGCTGGGCATGGTGGTTGGCACCTGTAATCCCAGCTTCTCGGGAGGCTGAGGCAAGAGAATTGCTTGACCCCAGGAGATGGAGGTTACAATGAGCCAATATGGTGCCGCTGCACTTCTGCCTGGGTGACACAGTAAGACTCAATCGCAAAAAAAAAAAAAAAGATAATTTTTTTTTAAAACAGAAAACACAATAAACATCTTCCATTATGCTTTGTATTATCTATTATGTTGCTTTGTATATATATTATATCTTTATCTTATTTGTAATAGACCTTGTATATTTATTAAAATAAAATGATGTAAGCGCCTGAAGCTCTGGTATTTCACATAATGAAGAAAGAGTCCTGCTCTTTATAAAAATTAAAATAATAAATATTTTTCTCCCTAAACACTGATATTACATTTTAAAAGATAAAATTAGTCAGTCAAAATATATGGGACTATAATGGCAGATAATAATGAATAAACATCAAAACAGGTCATTCATTATTAAAACATGCCTTTACTTCTAATACTTAAAATATATCTTGCAGTTCATCTGAAAGAAATGAAGAACAACACATGCCTCCTTTTCCCTCAGGTAACCATGAAGATTTGCTTGAACTTGAGAAAAGAAACAGAGAAAAGAAGTATATTCTCTGAAGTTTAGATACTATGTTTTTCTATACTTCTAAAATACTGATTTACTTAGGATGTTGCTTCTTTTAAAAGTTATTACTCTAATAGGTACCTTAACAATAACTTAATTGTTGATAGCACCATACTTATGAAGTGGAAATTTCATTGCTGAGCTGTCATTGTTTCTTTGGGATGAGCTTGTTTTTAGATATCAGTAACAATTTGAAAATCTCTGCACTTTTATTCGAATGCTATTGCTTTTACTGACCTAATATTCAGTCTTCTACTCACTGATTCACTAAACAACTTTCACTGAATATGCAAAGAACTATGTCATTGTTTCATACCAAGACAGTTTTGAAAACTTACTGAACATCTTTTATAGCTCACTCAGGTTCCTATAGACGATGTCACTCAATCTTACAACAGTCCTGTGAAGAAGTGTTTATTATCCCATTTACAAAGAGGGTAGTGATCGCACAGAGTTAAAGTGACTTGCTCAAAATCATACAGCTGTTAAGAATCAGAGCCAAGATATAAATTCATATATTCTGATTCAAATAGTAGAATTTTCCCACTACATCTAGCCCTGTTCTCAAACCATATGTGACCTAGCAGAGGAGATAAAACATTAAGCTCAAAAACAGAAGAGATTTAAGGAGCTTGACTCCAACATTCTTGTAATCGCCAAACATAGCTGCTGAAGTTAATTTGAGCCTCAGACCTCATAACAAAGGCTTCTGTCTTACTCCTGACATCCAGTCATCACCTTATACTAATTTTTGGCACTTATATCCTTGGGCCTAAGTCCCCATTTTTGTATCTTGCCTCATACCCCAAGTCTTTCATGAAGTGGGGGTCCTGCTTTGCCCTACACAGGACTTGAGTCCTGTCTTTGAACCCAGTGTCTGGGACTTTCATGTTTTCTAAATGGATTCTCTTAGAGTTCATATTTCCTGTCTGCTCTGTGTGTTATTTGGAACTTGCTTGCTCCTACATCCTCCTAGTCAAAGCTATCATCATGCATAATTTGAACGACTGCCTTAGCCTAACTGGGTCCTTGCTTTCAGATTAACTATCCTTAAGTCATCTTCTTTATTTTTTTTATTCTGAGACAGAGTCTCATTTTGTCACCCAGGCTGGAGTGCAGTGGCATGATCTTGGCTCACTACACCTCTGCCTCCCAGAATCAAGTGGTTCTCCTGCCTCAGCCTCCCAAGTAGCTGGAATTACAGGTACCCACCACTATGCCCAGCTATTTTTTTGTATTTTTAGTAGAGATGGGGTTTCATCATGTTGGCCAGACTGGTCTCAAACCCCTGACCTGGTGATTTGCCCTGCTTGGCCTCCCACAGTGCTGGGATTACAGGCATGAGCCACTGCTCCTGGCCCATCTTCTATACTTCTACTGAAATCATTAAATAACATATACCCAGTTACGTCCCTCTCTTCTAAAAATGTTTCACCGGTTCCAAAACCTCTAAGGTGAAACCCAAACCCTTCAAAAAACCATAAAATCCTTTCCTGCCTCATTAAGCACTACTCACCCCAGTATACTTTAGCTATATCAAACTTCTTGTTTTATTGAAATAGAAAAAATAGTTTCATGCCTCTGAGCCTTTCCATGTGCAGATCCCTCTGTCTGGAATGCCTTAATCTCCTTGCATGATGGTGAACAAAGTCCCATGTATCCCCTAGGTAACCATAGTTGTAAAGGCAATTAATTATTGAACCTCTCTCCAGAAGCAGGTCTTTGTATTTCCTGTTGTGTTCCCACAGCACCTCATACATTCCTATGTTAAGATACTCCCACCCTGAATGGTAAATAGTTATTGATACAAAAGCTTCAGGTCCTCAAGGGTCAGGACTTCCTATTTAACACATGTATGCCCAGTATTTGCTTTGCCCATCTCTGTGATAGCTTCACTACTTCTGGTTCAACCCCTAACTCCTGTTGCAATATATTCTTTCTATGTTAACTATACTCTTTTCCAGGATACAGAAATCATCTGAATCTCTAATTTACAGATCTAATCTAGTCCTACCTTCTTTCGGTTTGCAGTTAATGGGAATAAGATTATTAAAATGTTAAAATATTACAAACCAAATGACATGTTTGCAAGTATTAAGTTCTTTTGGGATTGGAGGGTAAAAAAACAAGGTAAAAGGTAATATTAAACATGGAAGGGACTTCGAACAAGAATAACTGTCAGGTACTACTGAAACAGGATGGGCAGCAGAAACTGGGGTCCCACATTAGGCTGCCAGTAAGGCTTGGCACACCATCAACTCCCAGTAGCAGCTGGGGCAGCTAAGAGAGATGTGGTGAATCCTGCAAGCCAGATGTACATCTTGGGAGATGTGTAAGTTGGGGATACACAAAAGCATTTGCATATAAAACAAAAGAAATTGCATGTTGTTAGTCCTCTTTCTACTTGTTGTTGTTGCTCAGAGGAAAAGAAATCAGAAGTGAAGGACATTTTAAAAAATAACCTCAACACACTGAAAGTCAGAAGAGAAGTAAGACAGGCTTGGGGAAATGTTATATTTTAGAACTCTACATGAGAAGTGGGTTGGATATTGGGAAATGGCAGAGAGAGGTATAAGAAAATTAATAGGTAAAATAATTTATTCAGGCTGAATATTAAAACAAAACATAAGTTTGGTTAGAAATACTATAAATTAATTTAGATTTAATTTCTTCCTTAATTGTAAAGAAGCAGAAATTTCATCATATAAAAATTTTCAAATTATCAGAATTTTTGACAGGAAACTGGTATGTTGAAGAAATATAAAATAACTAAGTTGAAATACAATCACACATATATGCTTCATAATTTTTAAACAATCTTTAATTCATAAATCATAAATTATCATATATGAAATATCCTGTGTTTCTTGAGCATCTAGTATTTACATAGCAGTTTTTGGCCTCATATGAGGTTGTATGTAAACAATCAACTTTCTTTCAAATAAAAAAAGTACTCTCTGAATGTTGTAATCCTCTAATTAGTTCTTACTACATAATCCACTTTCTCACCCATCCTTTGAGAAAAAAAAAAAATGTATGTCTTGTTGTTCTCCCATTATTTTCCCTTAAATTATTTCTAGATTATATACCCTTTCATGTCAATAAAATTAAGTGCTTATAAAAGCACAATATCTTAAAATTAGTCAAATCGTTGTTAGGATGAACATTTCCATTTTATTTTGGCTAGGAAGTGGGATTAGGAGCCAGAAGTCGGAAGCCAGAAGACTACAGGTAGTATGAAGGAGAGGCCGTACTCACCAAACCACGCCTGCTGGTCGCCTTGAACTTCTATGGCTAAGCCAAAGTCTGCCAATTTCACAGCTGCTCCCTTGGATTTGCTAGCTAAAAGCAAATTCTCAGGCTTTATTTAGAAAGAAAAAAAAAAAAGAGAGACTGAAGTGAGAACGTATTTTAAGAGACTATTCAAAACTAACAACATTTTACAGGATTAGGGGGAAAAAATTCATGCACTGTCATCTCTCCTGGAGACTGCCATTCCTAAATCCCAGGGAAAATGCGGTTAGAAAATGATTAAATATTATCATGTGTGCAGGCTTCAGACAGATGCATAACTGTCCTAGGGAGATACTGGGTAGAAGAGAGAAAACACTTGGGGAGGGATCAAATGAATGAGAGCACCTGTCTTGACCTGCTCACATGTTTCCAAGGACCGCTCAGGATTCAGACTTGGCCATGGACATTGACTTAGAAGCCTGACAGAACACAGACATTTTCAGCAGAAGGAAACTTGGCAAAATAATAACGAGTTGGACCAATCTACAGACATTTGGCAAATGAAACTGTGCAAATTAAATCCTAGTTAACTTCAAGAGTTTGGACCCAAATGTAGTGATTTTGATTCCTCAATGTTTCCAAACAATTTTGGTACAAATTTTGGATACTCACTCTGAATTATGTATTAAAATTGCTGTCTTTAAGAATCTGTTTATTCTTAAAGACAGAAAGAGTATACTACTATTTGCCAAATGTTATAGTCAGCTTTTTTCTTTATAAGCCAGCTTTTTAAACATAATTTACATTTCTTCAACGTATGAAATAGATTCAGAGCATTACTTATATATTTATTCTTCTATCTCAGAATACTATGAGAAAGATATATTTTTATTTTCTCGGGTATTTATCATTATGCAAGGGCTGATAACTCAGTCTTGGTATAAGGCTGTGTCTATACCACTGTTTCCCAACCAACGCATCAAGACACATTAGTACTTTGAGAATAAGCACCAGGTCCCAGTCTTCAATTTCCATGAATCTCCTTTGCAGATTTTAAGAAATGAAGATGGTCAGGAAAAGGAGCCTGGTTAATATATACAGTTAAGGATATACAACTCCAAACTCGATAAATATATTGGGTTAGAATGTATATGGGAGAGTGGCTCAAAGTCTTCCTATTTGAGGACAAAACCCAGTGAATTTAGAGGTGTGTCTCAGACTGAAATAAGTTGGGAAACAATGGACTCTACAAGTGTCAAAACGATTGTCTGAAAATCTAAAATTCAGTCAATCAAATTCATTTTGTTTATATGTTAATAAACAAGTAATGTCATGCTTTAAAAATCAAATTGGCTATATTTTTCTTACTAAAAATCAGTCAATTCTGTTGGTTGTTTTGACCTTGTGTAAACACAGCCTAAACCAGTGTCTAATTTATTAATTAAGCCAGCCATGCAAATTAGCAAAGACCCAAAACTGGAACTTGGAAGAAATTAGGTTAAATCTAAAAGAAATTAGAGTGTTGGTGAGTAAGTTTTAATCAGGTACCAGACTTCTTCAGGCTATAGTTGCTCACTGCCATCAGATTCATTACTATTATGATGATTGGTAAATGTGAGAAAACTTTTCTAATTTTGTGGGCTGATAGATATTTTTAACCACCTCAACACTAAATACATAATTTAATTTGGAGTATGGGATGAAGATATCTCAAGAATATAAAAGACTTTCATGCTGAAATTACTTTTAGTGAAACCAAACATTTGAAATTTTTTGGAACTCTGTTTATCAATATACTACAGTATCTACTCATGTTAAATTATTTTCATTTGGCATTTTATTTTTGTAACTAAAGTTTATGATCTACCACATTCATGTATTTTCTAATTTGATCAAGAAGTTAAGTTTCAGCTATTATCGTGGAATAATTAACTTGGAAAAACCACATCAAACTGTAAGCAATAGCTGATTCTAATACTTTCTTCATTTTCAAAAGCATTGGCATGTCAGAGATTTCTGTTAATACACATCTGTCCTAATTTGTCAACCACAAGAGTTTCAATCACTTTAGAAATCACATTTTAGGTATTTGAAGTCAAGTGCTAAGTTTGTTGAGCAACTGTCAACATCACTGGTAAATAAACTTTTAAAAAATTGAGTGTGTTTTTGCTCTTATCACTAAATGAAAAACTTGCTGGGCAGGTATGTGTGCATTATGCCTCAAGCACCAAGTGTGCTGATTCAGAAGAAATGGAACACCTTGGAGTTTTATCATGCATGACCTCTGAATGACTGGGGCAAATATTCACAAGTAAAGAAGGCCTCACTGTAGGAACTTTGTGAGTCATCCAGAAAATAGTAAATCCATCTGGACCAGAGTTGCACCTTATACTCATGAAGACTGTTCAGCTGCAGTTATGTACAGGAAAAGGCAGGCCTATTTGAACGTGACTGTAGATTTAACAATTAAGAGACTAACATGATTTCATGTTTATGTATATTTTTAGGCAAAGCTAAAATACAGAATTATATAATGAAAATTAAAAAATTAGGATGATTACTAAAATTTAGGATCTAAAATGAAATTATATAATGAAAACTAAAAGTTTAGGATGATGAGCTTATGGGATTATTTACTTTTTAATATTTTATCACAAGATTGTGTTAAAGGGCAGCTCTAATGAAACATAAAGAATAATCACACAAGTTTGATATCTATATAACTATGGTATATATTAGTTTAAATAATCCTCCTACTATGTTCTGTGAGAGTGTGGGGGGGCCTAATCACTAAGATTTTTTAAAGCAACATTTTAATCAGAACAAACACATTTATTCTAATTTTCTTGAATTAATACCACTCATATAGCTTCCAAGTTAAAAATATATTGTACTACAAATTTTGTTGGCAAGGTTAGTTTAAATTCTGAATGCCTACAGAAAGGAAGATAATTTGCAGATATAGTCCACCCATGGTGAAAGGGTAGAATTTCTCATCTAATTAATGATTACCTCCTTAGAAAAGACCACTACTATACAATTATTTGCTATTACTCCACTATTTTGATTTTCTGACAGAAATCAGACAGGTAAGATCAGAAACCCAGGTTTTCTAATGTAGTTAGCTGACTATGGAGCACAGCACTGTGAGGGAAACAGGCAGGGTGATGATCTAGAAAGAATGTGAAGATCTGGGTTCATGTCCTGGCTCTAGCTGTTATTACCTATGTGGACTTGGACAACTCACAGATGCCTGGAGTTAACTAATTAGTTCCTTCTTCTCTCAAATGAACATTATAAGGGTACTAAATTATATCTCATAACAGTTTCTATGGAATGATAAAATCACACTGGGTTTTATCACAGGAGCTCTGTCCTCTGTGGTGACAACATACACATTAGTGATTAGCTATTACATTCCAGTGCAGCTGGCCATTTCACTGTGGAGATCATTTAATATTTATAACTTGAGGAATGTCTTTATTAATGATGCCAATTTAATGGAATCTATTATGTTAGTCTTTAGATATTGAGAGGATCTCTAGATTCTTACAATGCAATCCCTTTCTAGGTTGGTTTTTAAATAGAGTGTACAGACATTCTTACACATAGGTTCCTTCCCCACCCCCATTGCTTCCTAATGATGCAGGATTTTCCATGACATCTGGTCTCAGTGTCAACAACCATTTATAGCATATCAGCTGTAATGAGCAGCAACTGTTTGCAAGTTTTGTTCTGTACTTTCATATGAATACAATGGCAACTTCTTTCAACATCTTTCAAGATTTTCTTGAAACTGTTCAAATGCCTGAAAGTACACAGACAGGTTGTTGGAATCACTTTCAGAACTGGAAGAGACTTGGGAGATAAAGTAACTCAAACCTTCAGTTTCTACATGAGGTAGGGAGGCCCAAAAAGATGAAGCCGAGACTTGAAGTTAGATTTTCTAATTCCTTCCTTTTAAAGATGTGATACTAAAGAAATGCCTCCAATTGTGTAAAAACAGTTATTTTTAAAAGGTAGTCCATTCAGTAGATGTTTTTAGAAGAATTTGAAGCACGCAAAAATATTTACTACCCATATCCAAAACTTATGAAAAAAACATAGTTTTAACCTTGCTTCACCAATTATCATGATCTTTATTAAGAAACGGATTTGGCAAAGGCAATCACCTTTAGCATTAACCACATTAGGCTTTTATTTGCGCACATAGGTGATAACCATCTAAAAGACTCAACCATTAGGAATATATATGTAAAATCATGTGTTTTACTTCTTTTTAAATTTTTGATTATGAAAAGATCAAATTACTAATTTTATTATTCTATATTATTTAATTCTTACATTCCTTTGGGTATTATTTTTTAAGGAGTAAAAATTGTCTTTTAAAATTTCTTTCCTTGATTGGAGAATCTCACTCTTTTAACAGAAAACCATTCTCTGCTTTGGTGTGTTTTCTGTCACTTATCTTTTGCCAAAGAAGGTGCAAATGAAGCTCCCCAAAATAAACTACATTTTTTTAGTTTTGCATGAATTGAAAAGCTTGAATGTCAGGCTCACTTGTCTCATTTATATACATGTATAAGTGATTTTAGCTTTTATTTTTGTAAGAAATTAATGCCTGAATTCATCTACTTAGTACAAGGAGTTTCCAGTAGATGTATATGCTATAAGTTTGCAATTAGAAAGTACTCTTTCTATTCATAAGAATCATTCTGTATTCCATTCCTGTTTATTCATTTACTGCTACATTGTCAGCATACACTGTTGGGTAGACTGAAAGAACCACAGTGTAACTCCAGTGGGATAGTGCAATTATCTACAGCTTCTCCACTGCCTGACAAACACTAGGCACTCAATAAAGAAACACCACTGGAATGACTAAATAAATTACTGAATTTATCAAATACATACTTAGTTTCAAAAATATCAAAACACACACACACACACAGATGATGCACTCCTTAAACTTTTATCTAAACATGGCTCTGAGAAAAGTATCCTATTTGTGACTTTTATAATCATTCAAAATATAAATTTCACAGGTTGACACATCTACCAACTACCCATGGTTAACAAGGATTTACTAAATACTTCTCATCTCTCCCCTTCCCTGAAAACTAATTCCTTTGTTCTCTGGTCATAAATTTTATTTATTTCTATGAAAATCTCCAAATTATCTTCATTAAAATCCCCCCCCCATATCCATCTATCCATCCATCCAGTGACTTTTCCATTAAATAATGTTGTTCTTCTGATTAGGGGCTAATAGTAAGGGCAGCATTCTCTGCTCAGGCAATTCACAGGGTGTTCATTTTTTGCTAAAAGATTCAGTTGTGTGCATAAAGTGTATCCAGATTGTTGTCCATGAAGTAGTTTAGTAACCATTTCTGGTACATTTGAACTGCAGAAATGTTATTATTTTGTTTGAAATTTAGTTATTTGAAAAAGCATAGCTGTATAACTATCTCCTTTTACTTATTCTGTCAACTGAGTCATAGAAATTGTATTCTCTAAGTTCTTAAATGAGGAAACATATCTGATCTGACATTCCTTCATTCCTTGTGACATTAAAAATTTTGTCATTTGTTACTGCAACGTCTCTTTGACCTAATACTTTCCTGAGTGCAGTACTTGTCTGATGTACTTCCTCCTTTCTGGGAAGAACATCATCAATACACTGTTCACATAGGTATATATATTAAACATTTTTTTGTAGGGATGGGGGTCTTGTTATGTTGCACAGGCTGTTCTCAAACTCCAGACCTCAGGCAATTCCCCTGCCTTGGTCTCCCAAAGTGCTGGGATTCCAGGCATGAGCCGCTGCATCTGGCATACAAACATATTTTTAAATTCAATGGCCAGCAGAGTTTCATGCACACAGGTCTGTTCTTGTTTTGTTCAGTAATGTATGCTCACATTTAAAATGTGAGCCTTATTAGCTGCTGAAGAAATAGTTGATGAATATATGTTCTTCTCTTTTTGTATTTGAACTTTAAACCACCAGTTCACAAATATCCAACACTGAGTTACGGCACTCCACTCCTTATAAATAATCTGTCTTTTTAAGCACCCAATACTAATTGTCTTGATGTGGCAATTATTAATTAAATGTGGCAAATGCATTTTATTATTCTTTGTCTCATTTTTCAAAGGCTGTGTTCAATGCTACCTTACTGATTTTCTAAATGAAAAAGTTTTACTTCATACACCAGTCTACTGCCAAATTATGGTGCCCCCCTACTCTACATTATATCTTATTTTCTTTATTCCTAATGATACGGATTTTGTTTATCTCTGGAAAACCTATAAGCAGGACTATTTTAACCTTTTGATTCACTAAACTTAGATTAGAACCATTTCCCCAAATAATTTTGAATGCTGCTAGCAAAATTATTTTCCTATTATTGTTTTGACCCATTCTTTGGTCTCTAAAGGCTTTTAATTCATCCAACTAACTAAATTGAGAAGTAGTAGTGATTAAGCATGCTGATTTGGAACCAAATTTCTTTGGCATAAATCATAGCTTACTAGGTGAGTGATCTTAAGTTCTTTCACTTGTGGTTGCTAAATTTTTCTTTATGTACCATGGGGATGATCAGAGTGCCTTTCTCATAAAGTTCTTCTGAAGATTTGTATGATAAAACAGTGTAGGGTACATGGTAACTGCTTGATAAATGGCATCTTTTTCCATTTTGATTATTAATATCCTGACTTGATCTAAACGCTCCCAAAGACTACAATCCCATCCCTGAACTGTACTGTACTGTATATCAGCACCACTAGATCCCCCCAATATTATCTAGAGCTATGTTAATTGGCCTGCCACTGGATGCACCTCAGACAAAATGCTGTGGTCCATGTATCTACTAGGTTCTGCCTGGTGCTGACAGATGGACCTTCTTGATGCTCATATCCCACCACCCTGACTCTTCTCCTATTGCTTGTTTCAGGGACATCCTGAAATTTCCTGTTGTGCCTTAGACTTGTTTATAGGTCCTCTTAACTTCCCACTGTGTAATGAGACCCAATAAGCACCAGTTATTCAACTAAATAGTGATCTTTATTCTAAAGATACACTTATCTTCTTTGTGTTATTCAAATATTAATGAACCCTTAACCTATTTTATTTAATGCTGCCTTTTATATTATAGATGTACTTTTGGTTGACCTTCATCATTTCTAAATTGAAGGCATATGCCGCAGGTATTGGCCAGGTATAAGGCCCTATATTAGGTACTGTGGAGTATCACATTACGTTAAACAGCTATTGTTCCAGAGGGCTTATATACAAATTGTACAGCACTTATATGCTCATAGATGCTTTTAATCACTATAAACATTACATTTACTTTGTTTCTTTTTCTCACTGATGTAGACAAATTAAACTATGTGCATCAAACATTTCAATGGTGCATGATCAATTAACATATTAATTAGTGTATGAACACAAAAATACATGGCACAGGAATAATAAAGGCAACTTTTTGCTTAAAGCATGGTAATAAGAAATTTCAGCAGTTGGTCTTTTTAACTTTACTATATTAGTAAAACTGCCAACATATGCTTATATATTTATCAAAGTATACATCATGTGTATAAAAGGCACAAAAGCAAGCCAGGGATTTCATACGTTCAAGAGGTGCATCAATTGCCTCTAATGCACATGTTTTGAACTCTTTCAGTGTGTTTATGAAATGGACTCAACTGAAATCCAGCCAAGTCAGCAATTTGACAGAAACTAGGACAACAACTACAGAAATTATAACAAGCTCTCTTAAAAGTTCATTTCTGTTCTCTCCTAGAATCAGAATAAGAATGGAGAGCAAAAGTACCTTCTCTGCTTTAAAGAAATCTGATGAGGAATGCTGCAAGTTATTTCTTTTGATGGTAAGCCTCCCTAAAAATCATCTGCAGAAGTTTTATTAGTGATTTTAGCTTATATGTCAGAGAATATATTTTTCTTCACAGAATATATTTTCCTTCTTTGTTCTATTAAAGTTCCCGTCTTTGAAGGGCTCACCTGAGTCCAGATGCTTAGATAAGTCCAATATTATGATTTCACAAAATATAACCTTAAAGTCATAGAAGAGAATTCATATTTTTTAATACTTGGCTTTTAAAGTACACTTATGGTTATATAACATGGAGTAGAATGTTTCAAATAATAAATTTATGGAAGAATCTGAAAAATTTGCACAAATGATGTGCATGTTCACATACGTTCACTTAAAAGGAAAGTGGTGCTGCAGATTATGAGAGGTAACAAAAGGGGCTCTGTCTGTAAATGACCAGTAAAGAATTTTTGAGGTGACTGTAAAACACAAGAATTTTTAAAGAAATACATTGTTTTTGCTTTATCCTACTGGGTACATTTGGTAAGTGTTAGCAGATATACAGTCCAATGTTGGCTTTTCAGAAGGAAATGCCCTTAACCATACCTTTGCCTTTGAAATTTAAAACTCTCAGTATTAAGTGAAATCAAAAGAAGATTGCAGAAAACTAAGGCAATTTTTTGCTTATAAATCACATCTTCATGTAATTGGTTTAGCAATACAGTCTTCCAGAATATTGAGAGACTGGAAATATGGATTTATAATTTTTATCACCAGAAAAGTCTGCACATGAGAAATAAGTCTAGTTCCTCTCACTAAGCACACAGTTTCAAACATTCTAAATCATCCTTTGCCACCTTTGTCCTAATGCCTAGAAAATGCTGAGTTTGAAAGAATTAAAACCATACAGTGCTCACGTTTGCTATTTTACTCATCTAGTAGTTTTTCATTTAAATTTCTAGGCCTTCACTATTTTGCTGAAATTCCACAGGTAAAACTAGAGTGCTGGGAGATGCAGACAGAAAATTAATGAAAAAGTGCTCTCCTTGTGAACTATTTAATTTCTAAATGATCTAAAAATTCTTTGTCCTCCAGGGTATCAGAAGCTGAGTGAAGTCTTAAAGGTATCAGTAGGCGTTCAAATGAAAATTCATATATAGGGATATACATATCTATTTGCTACATAAATATTATTTGATGATTAAATTTGTTTTGCATTTTTTTAATCTGTAATTTTAGAAGACACTAATATCTTGGCTTTTAGGAATATAAACAAATAAAAAACTAAGAGGCCTCAGTGTCCTCAAAATTCTTAGAATTTCTTAGTCCTAAGAAAGAGAAGGTCAGAATTCAAAATAGGGTTCTTTAGCACACAGTTGTTTAGGCTAAAACTTCACCTAATAACTTTACTTCTACTCACTTTGTAATTTTACTACTTATATAATATTGGGCATATATGAAATGAATATAAAATGATCAATGTCCACAGAACAAGTTTAGAGTGAAGAAGAGATCATGAAGCCCTACTGAAAGTCACATTAAATGCTATATCCATCCTTACGAGGGCAGAAATAAAGCATCCTATTTATTGTTAATGTTAGGAAGTTATTTCTATCTGGATAAATCAAGATTTATTTGTCTCAAGTGTGTGTTAGAGATGAAATAAGAGAGATTGCGGTGAAGGAAAGTTCCTGAGTAATGTTCTGGAATAAGTCCACACAACTTTATTGCTCATATTTTTGCCTTTACAGGCATAATTGCAGCTGAACAGTCATAAGGAACTGTGTGGTGGTTTATCTTCTCCAAAGGCATTACTCACCTTCAGGTCCCGATGGACCACGCCCATCTGATGGCAGTGTAGCACAGCCTCCAGGATCTGCTGAATGCAATGACTGCATGCAAACACCAGGGGGCGTGTGTTAGTTCCAAGCTTACACTCACTGTCTGTATACCCTCAGAGAGACTGGGTTAAAGTGCAGAGCTAGCAGACAACTGGAGTTGTATTGTACCACCTTCAGTCATGTAAACATATTGCTCAAGTAGAGTGACTACTACCTCAGAACAATCAGATCTTGCCAGATGTGAGCCAGAATGTGGATCCATTTGTTCTAGAAAAATCCATTTTGAAAATATTTCATGTCATTCAGGAGCTCATTTCCTGGTTATAAATTCTTCCAGGAAATAAACTGGAACACAAAAATAATGTGTATAGCTGTTGTGTTCTGCCTCCACCCCATCACATAAACTGTTTCCCTTTTTTCTCCCATTTTTCCAATATTGTTCTAAAAGCTGTCACATTAACAGCCACAGTACTATTAAGGTTAAATTAAGATACCTAATGAATTTTTGATAAATCATTAACTTCTTGTGCTTTAATTTAGCTGGCAATTATTATCTCTTGCCTAAGGGTTCATCAGACTCAAATGGAGCAATGTGTAACCAGTTGTTCTGCTACAGCAACCCATGGTCTCAGAACAGAAGTGGTGTTTAAATCTACAGGCGGACATACATCACAGGCCAAGTTTATCTCCAGGCAAATGCTGGGCAATTCAAGAAAGCCTGCCCCCAAACCCCTTTTGGTAGTTTACTGCTTGGAAACTTAACAGGTTGTATTCTTTAGTATTCTTCCCTTTTTGCTATGATGTATATTTAGCCTGTAGATGAGCAAACTGGAAGAGGCATCATGCATTATCATTTCGTCATTTACTCATTTTAGAAAAAAGTTGGGAAAGGCAAGGGAACCATTTTAAATACCCACCCTCTGCCCTTTCCCCAGAAAAAAAAAATAAAACTGCTTTGATTCAGATTTATTGACTCCATATACTGACCTTCAGGTCCCTGTGAACTATGCCATTTAGGTGACAATGATTTACACTTTCTAGAATCTGCTGTATACAATGACTGCAAAGATACAAGGGCAGAATGGAAGGGAGAACATTTTAAAGGCACATAATCACATTGAATATGAAATAAAATGAAAGTCCCAATGAAACAAACAAACAAACAAAAATTATATTTCTTCATTTTTTTTAGCTTTACATGGGAATCGAATAATGCTGAATAAAGCTAATTTTGGTTCTAACAAAAATGACATCCAACATAGAATTTGTGACATGTTCAGACAAAACAATTTGAGCTGTGTTGTTTTCATTTTAAGTATACAAATTAAGTCATGTATAAGAAGGTAAAATTTCCATATTCAGAAAGAAAAGTTTATAAAGAATTCCCATAATGTCCTGGGAACATTCTTCAGACATATAAGATTTCCAGATATTTCTTATACACATCTAAACTGTTTAAAATCTGAGGTCACAATTAAACAGGTGTTGAAACAAGAGGGTAAACACAGATGAAGTGGCAGGTGAAACAAGGGTCAAAAAAAATGGAGGGACACATTTACCATTTCACCTTAGAAGCGTTGCTTTTTGTAAAGTACATAACAGGAAAACAAATGCAAGTCTCCAACAGTAAAGGGAGAATTTAAAGTAAACCCATAAATAAAATAAACCCCTTTTTATTATAAGATTACTTTGGGGAAGAGCTAGGGAGCTTTCAAAGAATAAATAAACACAAATTTAAAATCCCCTGGAGTGCTGGTAATTGTTAACATTTTTTTCGTACACTTCAGTGTATGAAAACACTTCATACACTTGAGTGAAGAAACACTTTTTTTTTTTGCTTAATACTATATCAAAATGCATATTTTATGATATTCTTATTAAAGGTTCACTGATGTCAAACGGACAGCTAAGTAGAGAGGAGAAATCCTTGTTTGGCAACTATAAGGCCCCATGAGCTGTCATCTGACATATAATAATGTAGAACATATCACACTGATGAATTTTGTATAAGTTCACTGTGTAATTCAAATGCAAGTATGATATCCTGAACTACGTTTATTCATTGAAAGATGAAGCAAACAATTTAGTAAGAATATTTTCAACCATTTAATGTATAAAATAATATTATTCTAAAGAAAAATTTTGAATTAAAAAACAATCACCATCTGATTTATTACAATGTAAATATTTTAAAAATGGATTATGATAATGATTTTTCTAGCTCACTTATTAACAATACCACTAAAAGGGTCTCATATTCATTGCTGTTGACTACATTGCTTATTTGAGTATTGGCCATTATTTTTAAACCATAGGAATCTTTTTTCTTTTACAATAATATTCACTTTCTACTACTCTTTAGGAATATTTCTCTTACAGTTCTCAAACAACAATTAAATTATTAAATATTGGGAATAACAGAAGATAAAGAAGTAAACAATGATACATATTCAATGAACTTCACCATTTTTTACTAGTGAGAATGGATGCAATTCTTAAGTTCTTGAGAACTAGTAAAAAAAGTTTTACAATTTTTTTGACAAATCAAATAGCCTCTTTTGAGACAGGGTCTCACTCTGTGGCCCAGGCTGGAGGCACCACTCCCAGGTTAAAGTGATTCTCCAGCCTCACCTCCCAAGTAGCTGGGACTACAGGTGTGTGCTGCCACACCCAGAGGAGTTTTGTATTTTTAGTAGAGATGGGGTTTCACCATGTTGCCCAGGCTGGTCTCAAATTCCTGGGCTCAAGCAATTCTCCCACCTTGGCCTCTCAAGGTTCTGAGATTAGGGAGTGGGTTACCACATCTGGTGGAGAAATAGCCTCTTTATGCTTCTAGTTAAAAGGGAATGTTTCTTCTCTTTGATTTTGTCTGAGACCTATCCTAAAAAATATCTTAGGGCTCTTTAGCACTAAAAAGTCTCTATTTTAATTTCATCCTGCATTTTTCAAACCAAGTAACAGCCTGCTTAACATAACTTCAAAAGGCAAAATAAATGAAATACCCTAGATTAGTACCTTGATTAAAAGTATTACTGCTTCTTGGCAAATGGCCAAATAGCTAATTCCAAAGCTTCCCTGAGGCCCCTTTCAGGACCCTAATGTGAGGATTTGGGGTAAACTGAGCAAGTGATGATTCACTCATCATAGTATAAATTACACAGACTTTTCTACTTGACTTTGGCCATAAAAATTCCATTAAAATATTAGAGCGTAGTCATGTACAGATAGATTCACAAAATCGCATAAACAGTGCATTAAACCAAGAAGAAAAATTAGAAACTTAGAAGTGTGCCCCTGAGAGCAAGGAGGGGCTGGGAACCTCAAGATCAGCTGAACATCTGTTGAGGATCAGTCTACAATGGGATTAGCAAGCCTTGAGAAGCTCTGATGACGCTGGAGAGTGGGGGCAGAGTCAATAGCTGAATTTTCCTAACATCTCATTTACATTGCTAATAATGAGCCAATCACTCTTGATCAGATTTTTAAAAATAAATGACAGTTACAGAATATATGTAAGTACACAGAAAAATTTACACCATGCAGTCTACCTAATAGCTAAGCAAGTGGTTAATGTTACTCCACTCCAAAAACGTTGCCTTGGGTAGCCTAGGAAGTTTCAAATGAGACAAAAATCGTAGCCTACTTTTTAACTTTTGTGAAGATTTTGTCAATGAACAAGATGGAAAAATTACTGTTGAACTCTCTTAAATACTTGAATAAATATTTTTCATTCAGAGGTCTAAGGGTTTTAATAAAATTTCCAGTTAACTAGCTAATAATAGTTCCTTAAAGAGACTGCTGAGACTGTTTTCATTCTGTTTTCTGACTAGATATTCATTATTCAGTAGAACTTTCTGTAATGATAAAAATGTTCTATATCTGGTCTGGCCAATTGGTAGCTCATAGACACTTGTGGGTACTAAGCAGTTGGCTACACCAAACATATAGTTAGATCAACTGAAAAATAAATGTTTAATTTCATTTAATCTTAATTAATTGAAATTGCAATAGCCACATGTGACTATTGGCTAGCACTGGGCAACCTAGAAGCTACCTAGGGATTAAAGGATTTCAATCTTTGATCTCTGATCTTTACTAAAAATATATTGCTTTAGCAGAAGTCATTCCAATTAGGTGGGGTGTTTTGGTTTGTTTTTTCTTCTTGTTTTTAATAATATGTAATCTAACTACAGATGCTAGATAAAAATATAGACCAGATTCATAGAGATTTTTTTTTCCTAAGAATCACCCAGGAGACCCTTAAAACATTTGCTTGTACAAACATGCGTTTGTAAAGAAATATGCTGAAAAAATATTATTTCAATGTTGAGTCTTGTATCTTGCCCAGTGCAAGTCACTTACCTGGCATCAGCTTCACTGTAGTATTCCCTTGCCACTATGTCTTCAAACAGTTCACCTCCAGTAACTCTGGGGAGATAGAAAAGATAATCACATTTAAAAAGAAGAAAAAAATAAGCATCAATAGATTTGGAAATGTGTTTGTATAGATTTTTTTCTTAGATAATTTACAAAATTATCAAAACATTTTAAAACATGAGACAGTGTTCATAAGTCAAATCTATATTACACTAAACATTTACATCTTTTCTGTTTGTCTATCATTAGACACGAGGTCACAATTTTCTGTATGCCATAAATATATTCAGCAATATCTTTTATATAAAATGGTTTTCATGAGTTTTCATTTCAATTCTTCAAATGTTAATTGATATCCGAAAAAATTTTGGCATGGTTTAGAAACATTTTCTGAACAAAAGGAGACAACACACATTATGGCCATGAGTATGAGTTTGCAGGCTGCATCTTTCTGTGTAACCTTTTGCTGTTTTTGCGTGTGTTCATCTTTAAACATACTGTTTTTACCCCTTGAAAACACACACATAAAAATACATACTTTTCCCACAAAAGTGGGATCACATACTATATGTAAATAAGCGAATTGTATTTTTCACTTTACATTAAATTATGGCACCATGTTATATCAGAAGCATTTTCCCCTAATTTAACATAATATGGCAATCAACAGATATATGCATGTGTGTACATATAGGCGTGCACACACATATTGCATATTAGAGGGTATTTCTACAAGAGAAATTCTTACAAGTAAAATTACTGGGTAAAAGAGTATCCACATTTAAAGTTTGGCCAAGCAGACAAGGCAGGTCATCCAAAATGGTTGCACCCCCAACATTGTGAAGGTGCCCACAGGCCCAAATTATTACAATAATAGTTACTATTAATAAATAAAAACACCATTCCAATTGTGGAAAATTCAGGTTAATACGAATTTCTTGGTTATTAGTGAGGTAGACCATTTTCTCACTTATCAACCATTTCTTCCTCTGCTATGATCTGGCTTGATTTTCAAAGGACATTTCATCCTTGGGGTTCAACCTTATAAGAACTAAGATTTGCTGAGTTCTTACAATAAACCACGCAGTGTACCAAGAATTATGTTAACTCATAAATCCCCACAATTGCCCTGTGAGCAACTGCCCTCCCAGTTTATTGATGAGAAAATGGAGGCCCAGAGAAGTTAAGTAACTTTCCCAACATCACACAGCCTTTAGTGACACAGGCAGGCCATCCACTCCACAGCTCATACTCTCAACCACTTCACAGTGCAGACTTTCTAATAATGACATTGCCAGTCTTTCTAGTTTAGAAGCCATGAGTCATTTGGAAAAGCATCAAGTAGAGGTATAGAGCTTCATGTATAAACACTATAGAGTGAGATAAAAGGATGCTAAATTAGTTTGTTTTTTGTTCACTTGTTTGCTCTTTTGCTTTATTAACTTTGGAAACATCATCAAAGATTGTATGTTTTAGAGATAGCCAGTTAGTATTCTCTTCCTTATTCTCCTCTCCAAAGGAAAGATGGGATACTAGAAATTGTAAATATGTCTGAACAGTTATGCAACTTCTGCCCCTCTTAACTGCACTCTGGACATTTCAAAGTACTTCAATGTGAGTCATTATTTCCAATTCCATTATTTTTACATATAAAATGTTTACCTAAAATTATCATATAAAGCTTCATTATAGGCATGTTCTGAAAGTCATGGTTACATGTACATAATTCCATTCAGTAACATAGTTATTTTTCCAATTAGAATCTCTAATAAGGCAATCACACAATGTGCCTTACATAAATTACAATGCAAATTAATTAGACAAAAACACTTTCAACAAATCTGTAAAGCGATGTAAATCTGTCTGTAAAGCGATGATAATAATTTTGTGAGATTTCTTCCTTTGAATGTGACTAATGTATTATAGATATACACTCATATTTATCCTTGTTTTTGACCATAAGTACCTAGAAAAACTGCATACATTACAGACAATTTTGGATTATTAAAATGTTTAATAAACATCGATTAAAGTCTATTGACATGAACAAACTTGCTGCTATTTATAGGCTCCTTAAACATATTATTTGCCCTATGAGAAATACCAGATCTTGGATCACTGGGTTCTTGACTTCCTGATATTTGTTATGTTAGCATCTAACCTAGCATTTATACGTATTTGCTTAATTACTGACTCTTGAAGTAATGATTAAATAAATTAACCCAGTTAGAAAATCATGCTATCCATTTCATTTACTGTTAAGTCTGGACTTTATATGAGCTTAAAAAAAAAATCATGCACATATCCAAGTTAAGCTATCCATGGCATTAGGTTTTACTTTCTAAGGGGTTCATATGTAAAGGAGAATATTGAAAAGTCAGGAAGAGCAGCATTCTGGTAGTTTTCAATGAATTATAATAGCTTTAAACAAATTTGAGGGATGTAGAGATTTATGCTGAGTTTTGGATTATGTAGTGAAGTGTGTCTGACAACATTCTCTCTCCTCTTCTAGCAATCATTCTTCCCATTATTTAAAAACATCTTTACACAAATGAAATCATTTTATCATTTCTTCTATATGTATGATAAATGTCTGAAAAGAAAAAAATGGCAATTATAATAAAATTCAATGTCGTGAAGAGAAGCTACTGAATTTCCTAACTTTAACATATTTCTATACTCACATTATTGTTTAACAGAACACAAAATTAAGCCATAGTTATTACATATTTTTTTTTTTTT